CTATGATGCGTAAGTCCAAATAGCTTTTAGTAAGTAATTGTATGTATTCAATTTCTAACTAAGTTTTAGTTTTGAATGTTTCCCGAGAAGTGAATTTAGAAGTCTTATTCTTTGGTTCAGAGTTTTTTCTTTTATTCGTGATATATGTCATTTTTCGGTCTAATACCAGTCCAAGAAAATGAATGGTGTACGTCGGTGGTATCTTTGTATTATCAAGGGAAAACTGGAGGACATATTTCGTGTCGAAAAGTAAACGTGCTTAGTAGTAGTAGTACTTAGTCGGATTTTCCAATGCGATGTAATTTTGTTAAATACCGTTGGTGTGTCGTTTGCGTATATCACTGTTAAAACATTGTAACTAGAAGATATGTCGTCGGTGTATGCAATATAGAGTAATGGAGCGAGTATTGAACCTTGGCATAGTCCTGCGGAGGTAGACCTTATGAATAATAGTTCTGACCCGGTGTCAGAAAAAGAAAATTCTGTCGTCTTAAATTTTGCGGTAATGAAATAGATGCGGGCTGAGAAAACTCCAAGGAGAATCATGCGTATTACTAGAATTGAAGATAAATAAGTTCAGAATTCAAATACCTCGGGGTGCACTTTGACACAAATGCTTATATCAAGTAAAAGTAGAAGAAGTAGCCAATGCAATATCAGCTGTTTGCAGAATGTTTAAAAGCAATTAAGAGGGATCTCTAAAAAGGCGAAAGAGGGGAAGGCATATAAAATGTTAGTTAACATTTTTTTAAAGATCCTTACTAAGAAACATCGATCAAGAATACAAGCGGTTGAGAAGAGATTTCTTCGAATCATTGAGGTTATATCTAGAAGAGATCGAATTCGTAACACCACTCCGAGATTAAACCTTCTTGTTAAGCTAGCGAATGAGCGAATAGAATGGCTAGAACACCTTTTACCTGACCCTTGTGGAATAAATAAAGACTCTTATCGAACAATAAGAATAAGACGATCTCTAGATGTAGTTTTAACTACTTGAAAAAATGAAGTAAGGAAAGATTTTCAGAAAATAGGACTTCAATGGAACAGAGCAAAATAACATAGAATTAATATGTAGTTGTTGATGATGATCTTTTCAATATTTTGTTTTTACTTGTTTTGATAATATTATTTAGATCGATTTCATTTTAGAGAAAGTTGAACCCAGACTGAGCACACATCCTGGCGCCAATATTTCCTTAATGTATTGAATGTACTCGATTGGCTACATAAATCCTGTTTGAGAATACTTTCACCATGGCGTGTTATTACCTGCCAGGTACTTCTACACAACACTATATTTCAATAAGAAATTTATAGTTTATCTTCTCACATTTCGTCATTACTGGCAGCCTTCGGAGTATAAATTAGGAAACCGTCTAAAGGTTTGTTTTATTGCAAGTGTCTTGTCTTATAACGATATTTTACATATTTTCTCCTTTACTTTCATAAGTTATTCTAAAACTAGACTGAATTTATTCAGCAACAGGTCTTGAAATTTATTTTAGTAAAAACAAATATAAGTAAATATTAAATCATATTATGAACATAAATGATTGTTACCTTTGATTTCTGAAGATCTTATACATTATTTTTTAACATATGTATGAAGTTACATGTATAAACAGTACCATAGTAGTATTTTTCAATAGTACTTTGTTAGAATTTCATATAATGCAACAGTCCAATTTAAGCAATTAAGGGCATAATAACCAATCGATAAGCATTTAAATTATTTATTAAATGCTACAACATATATCATGGCAATATAAGAAAAAAATTATTTTTTTAAGAGGTAATTGAATTATGAAGGGAAATGTGAAAATTTATAGATGACTTGATAATGATAGCTCGAAATGATTTTACTTTCACTTACCCATTACTATAATATATATAGTAAGGGAAAGTATTGCGACATGAATATTTTGGAATCTGATTTTTCGACGAAAATACATGTTTTGTGGTCCCCTGATACCAAATAACCTAATCCAGCAAATTATCTGTGTGTGTGTGTGTGTGTGTGTGTGTGTGTGTGTATGTAAAGCCAATAGTATTTGAATAGTTCTACCCGACAACCTATGAAACGCTAAGAATTTTATAGTCTACAATAACATCGCTTTTTTTCGTTGAAAAAAAATCTCATTAGAAGTACTTAAATGTTAGTCAGTAGTTGTGTTGTCTAAATGCGAGACCAAGAAGAGTCTTGGTCTTGAGCACCCAGTCTTGGTCTCGTAAGTCTCTTAACAGTCTTGCAGTTATATTAGCTTATTACTATAATGTTCTATAGAAGAAACCTAACTAAGTCCGAATGAAAAATTAGAAGAGTTGAATACAAAAATATATTGGTTATGCCAATTCTTTACATATAGTAATTAAAATGGTCAAGTATTAGTCACTATTTTTGTTTTAATACCTTATTAGAAAAACCTGAAGATAATTATTGCAAAAACACAGTCATACCTATATACAATATATATACAATCAGATAGGGAACCCCAAGCCAGGCTTCTTCCTACAACTATAGAAGGAAAAGCAGGACTCCAAGAGATCTCTGCGCTACTCTATCTACTCCTGTTGCTAAGGCCAGTTGAGTTTGAGCGAGAGCACAAAAAAGTAAATTAGACATCTTAGACACAAGAATACTCATTTACTCTATTTATAATCAGCCAGGAGAAATATGAACCAGTCTTGCCATCCCACTTGTGGAAGGAAAAGCGAGGCTTCAGGAGATTCCAGCGCTCCTCCCTCAACCACTTCATTGGTATTTAAAGCCAGTGGAGGATAAATAATACATCTAAAGTTATCAAGATTAACAAGATGTACAATGAGGCCATATATATTTTATAATTCATGTATAGTTGAGACGTTCTCATGTTAAGTCAAATTTATCATAATTCCTTTTGATGCTACAGGCAAAAGTGGGTCGAAAAAGCTTTTTTATTCTTGAGGCAAGATGGATAATTGTTCTAATTTGTTTGTGGGCTGTTCAAATGTTTGCCTGGCCTTGCTTGTATGAAAGAGCAAACAAAAGACCGAATATTGTCACGAACCAACATCGGACCGCTCCATGTAAAGCACCATTTATAGACAAATCACAGTAGATTGTAAATCAAGTCAATGCCTTATAGATTGGATGATATAAATCATTATGAATGTAGTGCTAGGAAGTTTAAAATTATCTTTTTTATTATTATTGTATGTATTTAGGTAAGATTTTCAAATGGATAATTTTTTCTGGTTGTTTAACTTAAAATGTCAGTGTTTCAAGAAAATATATACATATTTTTAAAGTGCCTGTAATATGTTTATATTATATATACGAATATCTCTATGCTTCTGAGCTTTTTATTTTAATTTTTTCTCAGTAAAATGCCCCAGCTCTGTTATTACGCTAGAGCTTGATCAGAACTGCAAACTAAAGTCAAAATGAATGTGAGATTTCAGCGTTCTGTGGTTTTACGAGTGATTATTTAGATTTACAGATTCTCTTTAATTATTCTCTTCTTTATATGTTCGGGTTTAATTTAATTAGATTTATTTTTTTTATTCTAGTAATAAATAAAATTTAATCATTGTCGTGAAATAATCCATGTTCTATAAACTATATATCACAGACATTTATTTAGGGTTTCGTATACAAAAAAGCAATTAATGAACACTATCAATTGGCTATGCAGCTCAGTATTTTGACTGTATCACTCGAAAAGATCATTTCATTCCTGCAAAGCATCATTCCTGAAAGATCATTTTGATATTATTATATTGCTTTTGAACTGGTACGGTTCCAGAAACAAGTGAACAGACGAATTTTTTATTAAATAATAAAAAGTAGGCACTACAGAGGGATTTCAAAGCTTTTGGGAATTTAACTTCAATTCTAAACCATACCAATCATTCAGAATGTTTCTTAAGTGCCGAGGAATCGGTTATGGTTCCTGGATCTTGTAACTGATATGATGTTTATTACAAGATCCAGGATCTATTGCTTGCGTTAAATACTGCAAGGAAATAAGTTGCCTCAACCGCCAGGTTTTACCTCTTAATTAATTATGAGTACCCACTTTATAGAGGCAGGGTGTGTCCCAGGAGAGTTTTTCGACACCAGAGTGGATCTACGTTCGACGAAACAGGATAAATAATTACCTGCCATCAGCCAGATTCGAATCCAGGAACTTGGAAATCAGAGCTTACTCACTGAGTTACCTCACTCCTATTAATAGTACATCTTTTTTATTATTATTTATTTATTATTTTGATTCTGTTTTATTTTGTTTATTTGTATTTCCTGTAAATATGGTATGAATGTTATCTTTCCTCAATGTTACCATTGATTACCATTCAATATTGTGGCATGGACCGTTGATTCATAGATCATTAATTTTATGATTAATTAGTATAATTTCATGATTTATTGCCCTCTGCTATGTTTAATCGTAGCAGAATGCTTATATCAGTTGCAGAATACAAAATATCACCTTAATCAAAAATAGAATTAAAAGTTCGAAATGATTACACACGACCTTTTGCACTAACAGTAGTAATATGAACTTAATCGGAATGTTTTCACTCCAAAAATGGATGGTACGAAACATCCATAAGAAAAACTAAACTTTTTGTTTGCTCAGAGTTAACGAGACCAATACTTTTCTTCAGTCAGAACAAAACTAATAAAATAGTTATATACTATTATAGTTATATAGTTTTATACTTTTTATAACTAATAAAATTGATATATGGTTTTTATATTTAAAAAAATATTGATATGAGGAATAGTCTTGTAAATAGAGAGTCTGAAGTTTTTCTCGTCGTAACTTGTTTCGGTTCATCTTTATAATTGGTATATTCATTAACAACGAATAAGCAATCGCTCACAGGATTTCAAGAATGAGTACCTGCCGTTTTAATAGTGTGATTCTGTCAAAACATTGACAGATATGTTAAATAAACTAGGTACATCCTACTTCATGTTAACAATACTTAAGTAAGCACACATTGGTTACCTGAGCATTACCTGCAGTTGTCACCACTGTCACCAACAATAACACATGACTAAACAGTTCTCCTTGGAGCTGCAACACGTGTTGGAACTTCTTCTGGGTACGATTATTCCGCGTCATCGGGAACAGCTTGTTCTGTAAATAGCAGAGGCCTGTATTATGCTTGGTAAAGAAAACGTGTTACATATTGCGTTGTGTCGTCGTATGCAGAATTGCCTGTATTATTTACATAATAACATTCCACGATTAGGGGTTATATGTATTTTTAATTTATTGTTTATTTTATATTTATTTATTGTTTGTGCAAATTCGACTAGCCGTAATTTAAATATTTACAAAGCTTAAACCTTAATATCGGTTGATTTTTCGAGGTTAGTTGTAACTTAAACATGGAACCCACATACCAAACTTAAAAGTTTGACATAACATAACAGTTATACAGACTACTTAACAGAAAATCTAACCTCTCAATTGAGAACAAACTATTAATATACAAGACCATACTGAAACCCATCTGGACCTACGGACTTGAACTGTGCAGGACAACTAAATTTTCGAACATCAAACGCATCCAATCCTTCCAGTCTAAAGTCCTCCGTATAATAGTCAATGCTCCTTATTATGTTACGAACAAAACCTTACATCATGACCTTAACATCCCTTATGTCCTTGACGTTATTTTCAAATTTTCATCAGAACCTAATCCATCATCCTAATCCCTTACCACAATCCTTATCCAGTTCCAGTCATCCCTACAATCCTCCTCGAAGGTTGAAGCGGCAGTGGTCTCGAGATCTTTTGTAAAGACGTCATTGGAGTCCTGGTGATGGCCAGCTTCTCCACTCAAGTCATGAGCGTATGTGGCTTTAGTGCCCTCTTTTAGTCTCCACTGGATTCCCATCCTAGTGATGCGGCTGAGAGAGAAGCGCTGGGATCTCTTGGAGTCTTGCCTTATCCTCCACACGTGGGGAAAAGGCCCGACTCGGAGCTCCCTCGGCTGACTGTAAATATTGTAAATAAGTATGAATGTGTTTTTATTTATTTTTATTTAATGTTGTATCATGATCGATTTATTCTGTTACTCCAAGTATTATTTTATTTTGTTATAATCTTGTTTTTCTTTTATTGTATATATGGTATGTTTGTATCTCATTCATCCTAAATACTCAATGCCCTTAATTGAGGCAAAATGTATTTTTTCTAAATAAAAAAAAAAGTTGTAACTTAATACAAACATTTAGGTTTCTGTCCATGGTTGATAGCCATTGTTCTCTCATAAATCGTTTCGACAATGCGAAATGGTCTTATATTATATTTACCATTTGCAAGGGTATGTTGGCGTTGTGTATCCATCTTAATTCTCAATACGTCTAATTCTTCTTTCCAATTTTCTACTTAATGGTTTGCAAGCTAGAGTTATTAAAACATATTGTTGTTTATCTTAAACTAGGTAAACGGTTACTTTTCTTATCTATAGAAAATATAGTAATTTCATGAATTTATACCTTCTGGGTAATTTGACAATAAAGAAATAACTAACATGATTCAAATGAAAAACCAAAACCTTCTAGTTAAATAAATACATAATAAAATAAAATATAAAATATATAGAAAGTGTGGTCACATTCGCTTTGAGTTTCGTAATAAATGCTCTTAATTCTTATATTTATGATATTAGAATTTCGCATAATTCTGCATAAAAATTCAGTTAATCAAATAAAAAAGTAGTTTTATGAATAAAATAAGTCAATATTTACACATACTTTTGCCATACTTTTCTTCATGCTGTTTGAATGAAAAATAAAATAGATATCTCTCATATGACACAAATTTCGAAGAGAATCTTATATTTTTGATCACAAATGTATTTATTGAATTTTTTCATTGTATATTGTTACATATTTGCTTATTTCTGAGAAAGATATATAAATAAAACAAATTATGTTTGGATTGTTTTTCATACTTACCAAATGAAATATTTATGCTGCTTTTGAATATAGAACCGAAAAATATATTTCTTTTCTGAAAGTTTTTTCAAAACCAAGTGTATAGAATAAATATCATGGGCGATAAATAGTCCGGACGTAGTCATTTTTAACGTTTTTATTAGTGGCAACCTTTCAAACCAAACATATGGACGTGTTTCAAGCACTGACGGTGTTCAAATGAATATAGGCCTTGATGATGACCCACATGTTTGGGTTGAAACGTTGCCACCAATAAAAACGTTAGAAATGACTGACTTCCTTCAATAATTTATAGAGCAAGTAAATTATGTGATTTTGACTTTACAGACAGTGGATCACCGATTTCTACCGAATTTTTTTTTGGTGTTACTACAACATTGGTGGCCTAAATAACTAATAATTTTTATATTGATTAGTTGAATCGTTCTAAAATTATCATGATTTTTGTGGTTCAAACAAAATTTCGAAGGACTCCAGCCTAGGCAAAAATTTCGTTTAGAAAATTTTAATTTTTTTATAGTACATTTTGTTCTAGAGAGTAACAAAATTGATAATCGTTATTTTCACCTCAAAATATGAATTTCCATAGCAACAGAAAAACTAAAAGTTGCTGAACGAAATTTTTGCCTTGATCTTTTTTAAATAACTACAAAAATTGTGATAACTTTAGAACGACTCCACCGATCCACACAAAAATTAGCAGGGATTTTAGAACCTATATGTTACACGAGATGGTACAAAACAGGCCTACGTAAACCAAAGAGACAAAATAAAAATGATTGGGAAGTTTTTCTTAATTTCTTGTTTAAAAAGATATGAAATCTAAAAATTATCGATGTGGGTTGGAATAGTAGTAATTCAGCTCTTCAACGGTTGTACTAACTTAAATTTTTTTTAAAATCCTGTTATTGGCCGGAAAAAAAAGGTCCTCTAAGAAAATCAAGTATTAAATTTTGCAATTTTTGATTTCCTTAAAAAATTCATATTTAGGAGTTTCAAAGGACACTAAGAACGCATCTGACTTGCTTTTTCATAATAAAAATTTATTTGGTCCACTTTACTGGAAGTGGTTTTTGTAATTTAGGACACATAATAACTCACTTAATATAATATTCAATATTATTTTCTTATTCTGCTTTAAAAAAAGAAATCTATTGATATATAATACCCTAAAATCCGGCCAAACCAAAGGCAAAAATAAATAACGTTAATTTTCTTTGAATTTTTTTTTTTTTTCTCGGCTCCTAAGATCCATTTTAACGATATGTGTCCAATATTTTTCGAAGTAGTATCACAAAAAAATTGGTTTGAAATTTGTTAACCCACTGACTGTAGTTTCCCCTTGTGAGTTTATTTATTTCTTTACATTGGACAAACCAGACATAAAAAGAAACTATAAAATGATATCTATGGTATCTTCTGGCTTGTGGATCACAAAAGTCGTAAACCCTTAATCCATAAAACATCTGTTTTGGAAAATTTACTTTGGCTCAGTTTGAAAAAAGAGGCGGCTGGCTACATGACTTCGAGTTGAACAATCGCTATGTTTGTTGCTCATCTCTTCATATGATCTTTGAGATCGAGGAGAAGGTGCCTCGCTGTTGGCAAGAAGGCCTCTTGAAAACATACTTTCGAAAATAATCGATCGTTCAGAAAATTATCAAAAGCTCTTTCCAATCGATCAATTCATGATGACGATCGAACATTTCTACTAGGAGCCCTACGTTAAAATGAAACAAACGATCCTAAACAAACTACTAAACTAATCTACCAATTTTTTTTTCCAAATCTTCAGAACTGAAAGTCATTGTCATATTGAAATGAATATATGTATTAATATGATTACTTGCTTTCACTCATATGTAAATAATCTTTACAAATAGGAATTACGCCAAAAAGACTCCCCAAAACTTCAAATTTTATAATCCTAATCATTAATGATATGTAAATATGACTTCATTAGTATTTGGATATATCTGTCATTATCTTATTACACCTAAACCCAAACTCGACTCCTGGTGAATACATTATCTATATAACAGGTAAAAAATAGGATCGTAAATTTTAAGCAGTTCAATTACCATAAATTACTTTTTAACTACTTTCGAGGACATTAAAGTAGTTAAGTTCTTTACTGTTGGAAGTTATAGTTAACAGAAAGCTTTGAAAGAGAGAATCTTAATTACTGAAATTCCTATTATTTAAAGATCCCTTACAATGGGAAATGTTGTTACTGGAAATCCAGAGTTTTTGTACTTTACCGTCCATGCGTACTCCATTATGTAGTAAATATTTCGCAAGATAGCGATTCGAATAGAGTATATTTATCCTGCTTAATAACGCCGTGGTACATTACATGTTTGTTGAAGATAGTGGGAGACAACTTACAATCGATGTTTTCAGGCGCCAGCCGTTTCGGCGTCGACTGTTTGGCTGTTGGTCGACTCCTGGGGAGCTGGTATGGCTTGGGGAGTATTTATAGTGAACATGAATAACTTATTCTAAGGGTTTGTGACAGCTTGTAACTAACTCAATGTCTTGTCTTGATGGTGAACTAAATCTCATGTTGATTCATAAGCTTTAAGGTGACGTCTTCACCGATGACGATAAACTATTATAACACCAATAATTCTGTGGAAAGCCAAATACGATTTAATATGATATGATGAATATGATGAATATTAAAAGCATTAAAAACTAACCCCCTAACCCTCCTCTGTACTCCAGACCCAGGGTCGCCTCACGGCCAATGAAACAGATAAATAAATTTTCTGCCATGGACCGGGGTTCGAACCTGGGACCTTTAGCATTGGAAACTCAGTACCCTACCACTGAGCTACCCCACTGACTAAGTATAAATATTAAAAATATAAATATTAATAGTAAAGTATAAATATGGAAAATAATTAAAGGAAGAAGATGGTCCGGGTTGCGGTCATAAATAGGCTAAATAGTGGTAAAACTATTTTATTGAAAGCCGACGTTTCGACCGACTTTGCAGGTCTTCATCAGGAGGTGTGTTCATGCAGTTCTAAGTGTAACTCCTAGATGAACACACCTCCCTGATGAAGACCTGCAAAGTCGGGTCGAAACGTCGCCTTTCAATAAAATAGTTTTACCACTATTTAGCCTATTTATGACCGCAACCCCGGACCATCTTCTTCTTTT